AGTAGGAGGAGGAGGAGGAGGAGGAGGAGAAGGAGGAAAACAACCAGCTGGTCTTCGTGGATGTCCTCGTCTGCCGCAAAGATTGTGGTGGCCTAAAAACCAAAATGTTCAGGAAAGCGACATATACAACGTAAATGCTGAACTTCAATAGAAACCGCCTGATCAGTCACAAACGCAGTTGCGCAAGGGCACTATACCGGCGCGTTGAGACGTACTGCAGTGAGATGGAAGACAAGGTTGCTGAATTCCAGCCGCCCTTGTCTTTTTCGGCTCTCCCTTTCTGTATTCACTACTAGTTGCCATGCAACTGTCTGCAGAGCTATAAACTGAGCCTCAGGGCAAATAGAGACGATCACCGCCGGTAACGTGATCGGTGGACGTCATTCCAACATATTAGTGGACGTACTTTTTCATGCTTTTTAAAAAAGTGAATAACCTCTTTACTTTACACATTAATACCTACCGTGGTAAAGGTGCAAAGAAAAGGTTACTTCCATTTTTATGGCGTCCCAATGTGTTTTGAAAATAAAAGATGCAGATGGAATTAGATGCTGGACCACGAGATCTCCCTTTCCTGTTGATGCATCTATAAGATCGCTTTGCACACTCTCAAGCCGGAAACTAGCTGAGCGTCTAGACATGCGTTTTACGAATTCAGCACGATTACTTTTGTAAACGAAATGCGTAATCGAACTCCTAATGATTAAGGAAATAAGCGGCATCATCATCATCATCATCATCATCATCATCATCATCATCATCATCATCATCATCATCATCATCATCATCAGCAGCAGCAGCAGCAGCAGCAGCAGCAGAAAGTATACGACAAGCTACGGCTGGAATTCTGCTATGTGAATAGGACGATTTAGGCATTATATTTGAGATCGGAGCAGTCTACGTCCTTGCGTGTGGAATCCTGATGTGTGCGTATGGGGATAGATCATTTGTAACACGCGCCCTTCCCAATCTCAACAACAGTTGGTTGATCGCCTTTTGGTTACTACTAACAATCTGAAGCGTTTGAATCTATTAGGGTCCCCTAAAAGCCGCGGCTTGGAAGACTGCCAAGTGACGCTCCAATTCAGACCACGCAGGTAGCCCAGTTGTGTGTTCGTACTTTGAGTAAGACTGAGAGGCAGGCTGCCATGTCTCCTTCCTAATTGCACTTCCTCACATATGTAAGATCCGAACCGCTTAACTCTTGTGTGCGTAATCATGGTGTGGGTCTTTTGCGGTCCAGGTCGCTCAGACGAGCATTCTAGCTCTGTCGGCCACTACTCACATTCCCCGCGTCAGAAGACTGACCAGCTGGGATGTTGGAAGCGGACGGAAGCGGACTTGGCCACCAAGTTGTCACGCTTTCTATTCAACTATCGCATAAAACCAAACGACTCAACTGGTGCTTCGCCTACAGAATTGATGTTCAAGCGGCAGTTGCGCACACGACTCGACCTGCTTAATCCGTCAATGCATGATAGAGTCATTGCAAAACAGACGAAGATGAAGGCACGATATGATGTGAACACCCGACCACGAGTCGTCGAGCCTAACGAAAGTGTCTACACGCGACTGGAACACGAAACGAACTGGTGTCCAGCGGTAGTTCGAACAAGCGAGTGGCAAATAGTGGGATTAGAGTTAGAGGATGGGAGAATTGTGCGTCGACATCTGGATCAAGTTCGCAGCCGAACGGACACAGCAAGTGGAGAGTTCGGAAAGTTCGAACTGCTAGCAACCTTTGATAGGGATCCTGACATCCCGAGGACTGAAAAACCTACTGCCTGCACAGAGCACTACACCACCGACCGAGGCGTATGTTCCTCCTCCTCCTTCTGCCCCGGCCAGCACTAGCTTAGGGGCAGAGGAGCCAGCGACTGCACAAAGCGGCGCAGAGGTAGAAAATACCGTCCTGAGAAGATCGACCCGAATTCGCAAACCAGTCCAACGTTTTCAGGACGAATCTTATTAGAACATTGTCTAACTATCCACTATTACCTTTACTGTTCTCCCGCCTCCCCTCCTCATGCTCTCCACTTTAGGGTGGAGAGCTGCAGCGTATCCTGTCCGGGCCGTCAGGGCATCATACCACAAACGCGTGACAAGCGAACGATCAAGGTCATGACCCCTGTTCACACCTTTGTGCTGATTGGCCAGCCACCAGCCTATGACAGTCCCCCTTGCCATATGCCTATCCGTTTCCTCAAGCCTCCACACTTGTGCTGTCTATCGTACTCAGTACACGTCCTATTTCCAGTTACCCTTCTGTTTTGCACACATAACATACTGTTGCCTGAGAGTGGGAAGAGAGCGTGATTTCGATGGTCTCAGCACACATTTCTTACTATGAGCAACATGACGCTTTTGAGAATATCACAGTGCGCTAAAAGCCGTGACTTCTAAGCCTACCAATTCACGAATAACTGAGACCTTACATTAAAGTCTCCAGTGGGTGTTTGTGCAGAATGACCGACCGGTTGACTGACAGACAGACAGACTGCAATGGCGCCTTCTTAATATGGTCCCCGTGGCACTCCCACTCAGTGCGATCCGAGCCGGTGTGTTGGCACGCGCCTAGATGCGGGTGTTCACCGTGCCGTCCATTTGCGCCCTCAGCCGACCGCGGCCATCTTGACTCTGTCTGGACGCCGAGCAGAGGTTGGAAATGATGAGAGAACGCGGTGGATGATGGACAGGTACGTTGTCATTGTAGACGAATTCGCGCGCAAGTCAACATGCCTGCCATCACCCTGCTGTGGAGCACACGGTGGACTTCGTCGGTCGAACTGTCAGAGGTCATTGCGTGCAGATTAGGGAATGATCAGCCCTGCATAACACAAAAGCCGATGATAAATAAGGGAAAAGTGTTAGCCTGACAACCGCCAACTACGTGGCGCAGAGGTTTTAATTTTTAATGGTGGAAAACGGGGTAAGATTTTCCAGCCAGTCAGGACACAGAACTCGAGCACCAGTGAACTTGTCAGTAAAGGAAGGCTTCCAATGAAACGGCTTAAAAGCACACGTAAAGGTTACCTTTTCCGTGCGACTTTCAGTCTAGTGATATGGGGCCGGAAACAAGTCTTTCACGGCTATGCTGGCGATCACGTCAACTCTTACCAAAAATCTGCCTTTGGATTGGCATATTCCTGGGTGTCCTACTTCTGTATACTGTCTGGACTAACAACCAAAGCGTCATACAACACTGGAGCTGGAACAAGTCGAAAAAACTGGCCTTAACTCCGCATAATGGAAGTCTCGATAATGCCTCAACGTGTGCTCTAGGGCAGACGCCCTCCATTTATCGGAATTTCTTTCGGCAGTACGCCTGGGTCGAAAAGGAGCTGCTGCCTCGCGAAATAATCACCGCGGTACGTTCAACTCCCTGGTTCTATTAAACGACATAAATTTTAAGAACTCAAATTTGGCAAAATAACGTTCTCGATATTTCATCAGCGGGCCACCGCAGTGACATAGATCAGGGTAGCGTAACAAAAGTTAAAAAAATCTAATGAACATATGTGATGGGGAAAGGTTTGCGGGTTTCTTGACGTGACCATAAAAGGTGGAGGGGGAATTACGTTCTAGTTTCATCAAGGGTTATGGGGAGTGGATCACATGGTAATTGTTTAAGTTTGCAGATTTTGAGTTCTTTGCTCTTTAAGTGAGTTTTTCTGGTCAAATTAAACAGCAGAAACAGTCACATTCTCGCCTTTAACTTCACTTACAAAAAACAACTGCAAATGGTGACTATGTCGAGTTGTTTGCAAAATTTGTAATATTCCGGAAGTGAACCAATCAAATTACTCCCAGATTACATTCCAGTGCTCCGCTAACTAAGTTTCGGTATGCTTGAGATTGTACTCAACGAATTACTGTATATCATTAGAGCAAGTAATGCCTTCCCAACTCGGGTTTGTTGCTGTGAATGCTTGGGACGGGAATAAGTAAGAACAAACCCCGTAGCTCATCGATGTTATGCAGAAACCGGCGAGGACTGGAATTTTGTTGGATTTTAGTTTGACCCATCATAAAATATGTCAGTATAATGTGGGCTGGGTTTACGAAAGGCCGGCGTATAAATGATTTCCATTGTTCATTTGGAGGTCAATTTTTCTAAATAATAATGAACCTTCTTTCATCCAGAGATGAAAATGACGCTGTCAGGCAGACAGTCTTCCGAAAGAACGCCTAGGAGGGGGGAACCAATGCCTAAACTCAGACCTTCAAACAGCAGTTGGCATGGGTGGACACGGTAATGCATGATCAATGCTTTAGCATCTGAATGCATTTGTGAATCCCGTGGGAGAGTTTGTCAGCTAAGGAGGTTTATTTGTGATCACTGGGATTATCTAACAAGACGCGTAGGCCCTGGACATTGGTCAGCACACCAGAACCGGTAGTAGTCAGCATCAGTAACTGCCAACATTATGTCAGTTATTAATCGTCGTTAGTCAATCATACCCAACTGCAAGTTTTCTTCAGTTGACATTTCATCCCGGTCTCTTCGACGCTTGAGCATTAGGTAGTCATAGGTTCTAACGCTAAGCCCTGGACGAGTTGTCATGCAGGGTGTTATCGGAAACATTAACTATGGTCGAAAGACACCTACTTATCGGGCTACGGGGCGTTCCTCGCCTCATACTGTTCTTCGCGCTTAATCTAGGGACCTTGATGACGGTCGCATAGTGACCAGGAATATATGAGGAAAAGGGGGTACCGACAAAGACCAGGGGGGGCGGGTGGAACGCCATTTCAGGTCATTTTAACCAGACATGTACACCCTTAGACATTACAGGACTGCCTATGTGGGCTCCATGGTGAGCCGTAAGGCCAAACAGGACGATTGGCAAACGTAAGAGATCCGGGTCGATAATCAGAGAAAGATGAAGTGTTCACCGGTCAGGGGAATTGCTGACGTTTCGGAGAGCTTGGCCGGCTTTAGTGCAAAAATCAACCAGAATTTTGTAAGAAACAGCTGAATTAGTTAGCCTTGGGCTTCTGACCGTCGTTTCTGAATGTTGGTGGCCTCCTGTGTTGTGTGTCGTCAGCCCAGTTGGGGTCGGTCGAGTTTTTGCCCAACTTTAGGGTGAATTAGTCGACGGGCCGCTTTTGCTCGGTATTCTTAAGCTCTGTCTCACACTTGAGGCTTGCTAGTCAGATGCTAATTTCATCTACAAGCATCTACACCTTCCTGCAGCCTATAAAGTCCTGCGTCATTTCATACGCCATGACCAGGACAAAACGGTCACACGGAGCTTAAGAGTACCGACCAAACAGGGCCCGTCGACTAATTCACCCAAAAGTGGGGCATAAACGTGAGATGACGACACACAGCACAGGAGGGCACCAACATTCACAAACGACGGTCAGAAGGCCAAGGCAGCGAAAGAAGAAAAAAAAACGACCTGCCCGAGGCCAACTAATTCGGCTGTGTATTCAAGATTCTGATCGATTATTGCACTAAACGCTTTGATAATGAAGAGCCAACCAAGCTCTCTGAAAAGTGAGCAATACAATTCTCCTCGTCCGATGAGCATTCCATTTTTTTTCAGAAGCAGGACGAATATATTTCGTAGTCTGATTGGTGAATGTTCCTCTTCACATATATTTGTGTATATTTATATGGAAAAAGAGGGTAAGACGACTTCGATGAAAGATATTTTGTTCATCTGACGTTTTGCATCCGTACTTGTGCGTACCATTGGAGGCGGACAATAGGAACGGTACTTAGTTTAATAAAATCCTTCTAGTACCTCCTAATGCACCTACTATTTTCTCTTCTTGCTGGTTCCTATTTCATGCAAAGTGCTGTCTGACGGCCTTGCATGCAACTGTTAAGTTAATGTTACTATGAGTCGTGCTGATGTCAAATAGGCGAGTAAATATTTTTTTCTCGGTAAGGTGTGTTATGTAACCTCACCTGATGGACTCAATAATGTTGGGGTTAGGGGATAAGAGTTGGGGTTAGGCGTTAGGGCAACTATTGCTCAACTACTCAAGGCACAACCGCGCATTCCTAATAGTTTTTATTTCGCGTACAACTATTTCACCTCGTCGCATGTGCGTTCCCGGCCCCACTTTTAAGAACTCCTATTACCACCGGTCCCGTATTACAGGTGGCTGGGGTTTGTTTACTTAATGTGATGCTACATAACCACATCTGACCGTTTTCTCTCCCCACTCTGTTATTGGGCTCGCCGAGCGCCTATACTTTTTCAAAAGCTATCTGACGGTTGCCTTTTGAGGCTGTCTATGGTGCCACGCGGTCACTAATCTTTTCGCTTCACGTCGAAAGCGTGCTTAGGCCTACGCGTCTTTAACTGAATGTTGGTCATGCCAGAGTATTTGACCAGAAAATTTAGACAGCGGACACGTCAAATGATTCCCACTGTGTCCTCAGGGGGTCAGCAACGGGCTAGAAAAAAAGGTACGATGAAGACCGAAAGTCCGTTAGAAGGGGGATACGCGATGAGACCATTGATCTACCGCTTTAACACGCACTTCGGGTTAAACGCCCATTTTTCGAGCGAACTTGGGGAACGTCGGTGAGGTTATCGATCTCCGGCTACCTGACTGGGACCGTTTTGCCAAAACTGGAAACTCGGGTTTTTCGTTCCTATAGGCCTAAATTATAGACGCGCCACGTATAAGACACCTTTGCCATCCTGCGCCGAGGCAAGGAAAGGACCTTTAAAAGGAAACCCAACTTGATTTTCAACCACATTTAGTTCATAGTCGAAGGAAAGAAGGACGCAGGTCTCTCATTCCTTCACATTCAGGTGCATGGGAGTAATGACGATACCCTGCAGACTGATTTATTTTTAAAAGTCACGTGGACAACAAAAAATGGTCCA